AGACTTCTCTTTTTCAAATTTAATTTGGCATCAGTGGCATTTTCAAATGTTTTTCTGAACACTGGATTCCGTATGACTGGTATCAAACCTGAGGCATCAACATCTTCTAGGGTTCCATATGCATTTTCCACCAGTGGATCAACGCCCAGATCTGTCAAAGAAGCGTAAATATTGTTGGCATATGTGAAGCCTAGCACGATGACAACGAAAAAAAGGATTCGCTCACAATTTTTCGATGGTTGATATTGCACTGTAATTGAGAATATCCAGCGGAATATAATGAGTAAATTCCAATATTTTTGATCGAACTTCAAAAGTTTCGCTACAAGCCAAACGACAATTATTATAACCAATGCAAGAGCACTACTTCCAAATGCATGATTGAGAATTTTTTTGTTTATCGTGTACTGCTTTGGCATCACTATCCCCAGCTCATGAATTATGATATTATGCGTTCTCACCGATTCTTCTATTATTTGTCCAGTGAAATGAACGCACAAATGAGCAGTCAGTTCCCAATTGAGGCTTTCATTAATCAAATCTTCAGCCGTGAAGTTGCTCAGCCAGAATCTATTATTTTTGGGTCTCGGTAGAATGACAGGAGTGGCATTCATCCTTTCAATAATAGTCTGCATCAGAATAATATTTGGTCCTGACATTTTCGCCATGTCACCAACATCATCATCGTTCCATATGACCGAAGCAAATGGTGGTTGATTGACGATAACTACTCTCATCCCAAGCCCGTACATATTTTTAGAAAAATTTGGGAATAGTTCTGTTTCAGTTGAGAACTGGATGTGATAAAATTTCTTCATGAACGGATTAAACTGGTGGATTATCACTCGGTCTGGATTGTCCTTGGAAATTTTGGTGATGGCTCCAGTCAATTCCAGAGATTTCGGTGCATCTGCAATTATTTTTGTAGAGACATTTAAATTAGAGGCATGACGAATTTCAACAATTGCGATGTGCAGGATTGTGTGATGCCACGCGTGTCGCAGAATATTTTCCATGTCTCCATTGAAATTTGATG